CCTCTGAAGACTATGAAAGTAGGTTTTACACACACCCTGTTGTCATATCTTTATGGGCTCCATAAAGCTTAGTTTGGACAGCAGTCCTTGAGACTTCTGTAAGAAGTACTATGTCCATCAGTGCTTGCTCTGCTCATCAACAAGATCAATAAGGGACTACAGGAGAGCTGTAAGTATCAGGCAGTAAATGGGTCTCTCCTTTAGGGTGCCGCTCTTTCCTATACCTTCACCTGAGTTGCGTCTTCTTCCACTTTCACTTACAATTTCAGGAACAGTGTCTGTTCTGTGGCATTGCTATAAGTCCCTGATGGCAGGAGCAGTCACCCTGATAGGGGACAAGGCTTTAAAGGGACTCGTTTCACACAAGAAAGCAGTTTCTAACAAAGGGTTTCCTTATCGACTTTCAGACTGCTTCTGTGCAGACTGACCACCCAAACGAAAAAGCACTTCTCTTAACAGATTGACTTCAACAATTTACTTTCAGGTACAAATAACATTTCCCTGGTTGGCTTGTACCAGTTACAGTGCTAAAACCCAAAAGGCATTGCCCCAATAACTTGTTTTGAATGTAGGGTATAACTCTGCTTTCAGCCTGCCGTGACCTCTAGGAAATAGACCAACATAAAAGACAAAACAGTAACAGATGACTACTTCACCTTCTTTCTTGCAAACAGATAGTGTTGTCCTCCTCCTTCATCCACCAAGGAAACACTGTGGTGTTCCTGAACACATGAGCTCCACAGCACTCTGCTGACATCAGTGTTGCCCCCATTTTAAAGGCAGGAAAAACAACTTACCCAAGTGTGCAGCAAAGTCTGGAGTTCAACCCAGGACTCCTGACCATGACTCCAGTGCTTGAACCCAGATGATCACCCTCATGGCCACAGAAGAAAGGCTTACCTGTGGCTTGCTGTCTGAGGAAAGGTTTGGACGCACACTCCTATAACCCTTGGCAGCCAGAGAAGATGGTTGGGCATCCCCATTGGCATCAGTGTTAGATGACGACCTCCAATCATCTACAAGGGGAAGGAAAACTCAGATCACAGAGGATTCCCTCCAGCTACAGGATGAGAGAAAGGAGGGGACTCTCTTCTTCCTTTTTTTTTTTTTATTTTCTTTCTTTCTTTTTTTCTCTCCAGGCAACAAGAAATACTTCCAAGAAAGCAACAGAAACAACAACATAAGCAGCCAATGTTTGTACCTGTTTCTGGGTTTTCTGGCTCCAGACCTAAATGTTGCACAAAAAGGAGGGACAGAAGAGGTGGGGGTGGAGGATCAGCATTGAGGAAAAGAAAGGGGAAAAAAAATAAACTGTTACATTTACAGAAAACATGTACCAACTGAAGTTAAGAGTCAAGCTACTTCATTTCACACATAAAATGCTTTCTGATGGGGCTGCCTGATTACCATAGAGACCAGCCCTAAACATGATGCCCTCCTTGTTTCTGACCTTTGTAAACACAAGGCAATTCATTCAGAGCAATGAAGAAACAATTGTTCATTGACATTCTTATTTCAGGGGCAAAAAGGCAGCCCAGCGAGCTACTTTCTAAAGTTGCAGCTTGACATCCAGACACCACAAACTACTGGAAACGTAGGGACCCTATATTCAGCCATGATACAGGCTATGAAGACATATTTATCCTTATCAACATCGCTATGTATGATTAACTGAGATAACGAACTGCCAACAAATAGATCAAGTTTTGCAGACTAAGTGCGTGTGTGTGAAGGGGGTTATAAAATACCATGTCACTTTACAACCCAGTCCCTGCAGCTAGATGCATTGGTCTCATCACCTATTTACCCACCTCCCACTAGGTGCCTCCCCACCCCTTTACCCATTTTGCTGTTTAAGTTATATGCAAAAAGCTCTTCCAGCTCCAAAGAACATTTCAAAAAGCGATTGAGAGAGTAAGCAAAGGAAGTATTAATGAGCTGATTTCCATAGTAATGGGCTCATTGCCATTCAAGCTGCTGGAAATTTATGAAGCCATCAACAGAAAGGAGAGAGGCAATGGTGGGGGGTAGGAGTGAAGAAACAGAGAATGGCAAGCATGAAAAGAGGGTAGGTCACGGGTGGAGCAGAATGGGGGATGAAGACAGAGCAGAAAGCAGTACACTGGGACTGGGATTAATGGAATTGCCCTTCCTTCAACAATACAGTCAGAAACGATGTATGCTTTGCTTTCAAGAGCAAGTCTGACCCCCCCTCCCCTCTTAACGGCATCTTGCCTTTGGGAGTTCATCCTCTCTGCCAGACCCACGACACTGGCCAGGTTTGTTATGCTTTGCCTGTCTCCTACAATTAAGTAATTACACGTCTGCTATTGAAAGATGGCAGAGCTCTGTGGCTACACTGTCTGTCTGGGATGCTATCCCCGCTCCCTTGACAACCCAAGTGAATAGTATAGTGGCAGCAGCACCACTCAGCCTTTCTGTTCCACCTCATGCCTGCGATAAAAGGAGATAACACGGGCCTGCTAGGAAAAAGAAAAAAAGATCAGAGAGTTTTTGGTGCTCCTGACAGCAAAAGGGAGCTGTAAACAAACTTAAGCCAATGAGTGAGTCATCATGAAACCTGCACTAGAACAGGAGTCAGCCTCTCTCCACTGGTGTGTTTTCTGACTATGCTATGGGATTTGGGGCTTTAAATCATAGCTAAAAAAAGTCACCCCAAGACCCTAGGCTGACCTCTCTTGAGATTATTGTGAGTAATACATTCCAGTTAATCTTCCACCCACTTACTTTCAGGTTGCTTAACAACCTGAGGACATGGTGAAGTGATATTCTGATTTTCTTCATAGGCTGGAGATGCCCGGAGGGTCACAGCTCCTTTTCCGCTGCAGACTTTAGCGGGATCCGTTTCTACAGAAAATGCACATCCACAGAGGAGACACATTGAAACAGATGATAAAAAGCTATTAGAAACCATCATAGCTCTATGGAGTAACTTTAGCATGGCTGCCTCAGGGTGAAACAATCTAGCAATGTTTATGCAGATGAAGATTAGCTCTGGATTTAAAGCATTGAGAAATCAAAGCAGTTTCATATTCATGTAACTGATGAATGTGGAAGTTCTGAATCAGTGTAACAGAGCTAAGAAAGGAGGAAAAAAGGATGAGTGTTTGAACCAAATTTCACAGGTCCATTTGCTTTATTTGGTCTGCTTTGTGTGGAGATCTTGTACGAGCAAGGACATTCTACCATTACACCTGTGGCTCTTCTATAGGGAAGTCCCAGTGGTATAAAGCAATACGATTTGTGTGCTAAAGCCTTAAAAATGCCTTTTGTGCAGGACTGAAAGAAAAAAAAGTCTTATGATCACTGGAAGATAAAATCTTGTAACTATGCTGTATATGATCTAAAGGCAGGGCACTGCAAGCCACCTCCTTGCCACTTCTCCTTGTTTCATGGCAGTGTTTCACCTTTTGACCCAGGAACCCAAATTCCAAAAACAAGAAGGAGATTTAATGTATACCTCTTCAGATCACCCTGTGAGCCAGACATCAGGTCATGCCAGTGTCCTTCCTGAGGCCCCATTCAGCACAGCTTCTGTGCAGGCTTACCTTTGTGCATTTCAGTCCATGGATTTGGGTTTTTTTCCTCCTGTCATCCTATTAAGTAATAACAAACCAGTACTTCAAGGTTATCTTCCTCCCCTTAACATAAATCCTTCCGGAGACTTGTTTCCTCTAAGATACCTATAGAAACAATAAGCCTAACGAGTCTCTCACTTATCTAAGCTACTTCTTCACAGGAAAACACACCTCCCTTTCTCATGCACTACTACTGACCCTGCAGCTGCCATCAGATTTCACTCTGATGTACCTAAACAGAGGTGCTAGTCCTACCAGGACACCACACAGGGAGCCTGAAGAGGTATTAGTGTGTGCAGTGCTACACAAATGACAATACAACGATTTTCATGTTTGTGGGGTGAAGATCATGCTATCTCTGCACAGGGAGGGATGTAGCTCCTCTCTAGGAACCATTATTACAATGAAAGTTATGCCTTCAGATTGGACAGAGCAGGTAAAAGCTGCTGCTTATTGCCCAGACAACAGCCCGTGTTTGTGCAGATCAGTATTCCCTGTCTGATTTCAGCAAGATAATGCCCCATTAAAGCCATACTAGTATAGTGCCTGTAGACCATGACAACACCTCAGCTAAAGTTGCAAAACACACAAACCACAGCCAAGGTGGCCACAATATAGGGAAACGTCCATAGTGCCAGATGGACAACAGCAATAAGAGGAAAGACTTAACAAATGTCAAACACCTGGCTCACACCAAAGCCCTCTATGCTGGAATCCCTGCGGTTCAAGCTTTTACATGGGCTTCCAGTGCTTTAGGGATTTCAAGGAAAGCATGCCTTCGGATTCACACTGAGGACTGGAGAAACAATGGAATAAGAAGGAAGCAGAGGATACTTTCCTACAGTTAATTTAGGCAGCATTGAGGCAGCCTCTGTGAGGAGAAAGACTATCCACACACACTTATCAAATGCTGCTTAATGCTTAAATACACCACATTTACTCTCACACCACACAACTGATCATGCCTTAAAGTCACCCACATGCCTGGTGAAACAGAAGTTGACTTCTCTGACTGATTTTCACATGATCCAGATAGGGTCAGGATTCCTTTTGCCCAAGAGTCTGGTTCTGGCTATTGTTCCCATCCACACAGCACAACATGCAGCCCAAGGACCCTATGGACCCACTTTCAAACCAGAGAACAAAGGTTTAAGTTCTGGGACTCCCATTTCAAGAGTGCTGTAACTCTGAGGCAAGGGCACACTTTTGGGAGTCACCAGGCCTGATTTAGACATCCACAAAGAGTGCAGGGTAGCTGTTCTCCTACATTCTTACACCTAGAAACCCTTCACAGGCACTGGAGAGAAATGGAAATACTTACGAGTTCAACATGCCATAAATATCTCCATCATATTGGAGGAGAATAAAATTGGGGAATCAAAGCACTTTTTTTATTTTCATACAACATATTAAACCTGTATACTAAATCAAAAGAATAAGAATCAGCAAAAAAAGTTCTCAACTCAAAAAAATTAAAATGTTTTTAAAAGGTTTCAAAATAAAATATTGTCAGACTATTTCAATTTGGGAGAGGAAGCCAAATACCTAAGGTCTTGAATTCCCTCACAATTTAGGTGAAATGACGGAAAACAAAAACCTGAATCTCTTAGTATGGAAATCCAGCAGATGGTAATAAACATGATGTTAGCACTGTAGTAGTCTAACAGTGTACATGTGTGACACATCAGGAGATACAAGCAGTTATCTGCTAGACTAGTTTGACTGTCCAAATCCAGCAAAGTACAAAAATAATCTTTTAGCGGGAAAACATGCGCTTGAGGACGAGGCGACAGACAGCCTAACATCCTTTATTTATCCATATAAAGATTCCGTAAGGTCAGCGTATGTACAGAAAAACAAAAGCATCTCACCAATGTTGAACTATGCTTGAACCTGTAAAATACCATCTCTGTCATCCATTTACTTTCGTAAAGACTAAAGATACACAGGAAACATTCTTTGGTTCATCAGTAGTTTGGTTCAAAATGAGGCTGTAATAATAATATTATTCATAATCAAGCATTAGTAGAAGAGTTTACAATGATCCCAGATTCAAGTAGACACAATTATGTCTGCAGAGAAGCAGCATAATTGAGAACAGCGTATTGTGCCATCAAGAGCTAACTTTATTACCTACTGATGAAATCTACAGCTCTGGAAACAGTGAGAAGAGGATGAAGCTGAAAACTAGCCAAAGTGCATGGGTGAAGCAGGGAGAGAGCGAGAGGAGAGAGAGAATGATGGCCAACTAATGCATGGCAGGGGGAGAAAGGAAGAAGATACCTGTAGGCAGCACTAGGTGAGGAGAACTTTTCACTTTCTTCACAGGGATTATTTTAACGGCAGAAATAGAGCGTGTACATAAAGGGACGTCAACAGCTGCAAACACAAAAGTGTAAATGGCACATCCAAAAAGGGAAGAACAGAGTTTGGGAAGCATGCCACAAAATTTTCTAATGTACTTGGAGACACAATAGCAGGAAATTTTAAATACAAAAGCAGTCCAAAGAGCAGTGATTCAACTGTTAAAAATATCCCTTCGTTCGCCCTAATTCAGGACTTGTCTGTTTTATGCAACATACAGAACTGCTTACCGAATTGACTAACTGCTGACTGCCACTATGCTGCAGGCAAAAAGAATCTGGAAGCATTAGTTTTTAGAAGCCATCAAAAAATTTTAGTGAAATCATTTAGTTGAGATACACTACATGCAAAAATAAAAATGTTAACGTTAATATGGCTCAATCAAAACAAAGTGAAAAAACAAGGATTGAAAGGTTGAGAGAGGAATATTAAAGTAGCCACATTAGATGAATTCTGGATTTTATGGCACGTATTTTTACAAGTTCAGCAACAGAAGGAAGCGAAACATGAAATAATCTTGAAAATAGTCTCATGTCAAAGGGTAGCACCAAATTATCAATTTGAGAAAAAATCCATCCATTTAAACAGTAAATTGAAGATATTTCTACTGGACTTCATCAGCTAGCACACTAATTATATACTAGATGTAGTAACATAGGGGAAAATCATACCTAGCACTGTGCAAAATTCTAGCAATTGTTACAAAACTGTCCAAACCAGCTGGTATTTCCTGTCTCCAATTCTATTGCAGCTAAGGTGGAACTCTAAAAAAAACCAACCAAAAAAACAAGGGGGTGAAGTGAGTGGGTGTTAAAAAAAGGCAAAGGCAAAACTACCCAGAGGTGAAGCTCAACAGGATCTGCCAAGATAAACAACTTGTAAATCATAGTTCCACTAGAATAACTTGAGTCGTGCTCTTGATTTCTGCAGAGCCAGGATTTTAAGACTTACTGGCTTTCTGCATCTATCAACTGGAAAATGCTAGCTGCCGCCTCACATTCCATGCCATCTCTCTCAGGCATGCAAAATGAGGAGTAAGAGGAACCACTTTTCTAAAACTTTACACATCAGCACCGAGTACCAGGCCACCTTGAGGGAGGCACTGACATCAGGGTGGTGTGTACACCCCCTCTTGTGGCAGATCTTTCTGGTCCCTGGCAAAACTGAAAAGCACAGACTTCAACCTAGAAAAGGGTTCTCAAGCAAAAGGATGTCGGAAGTGCTTGTTAGAATTTTTTCAAAGCTGATAAAATCATTAGTTTTTAATTTGATGGGATTCTTTTAAATACTTTTTTTTTTATTTTTTTTTAAATAAAAGAGGAACCCAAATCAAACCCTGTTCTCCATGCTTCTCCCTGAGCACTGGAGACCATACAAATACAATAGATCCCAAATCCAAACAGCGTGTGGTTTAGGAAACAACCCTAATTCTGTTCTGCTCTGTAACGGACTGAATTCATCAATCCACAATGCAGTCAAAATACTAACCACTACAGAAAGACATCAAAGGAAAAGAAAGGAAATGAAACCAAGAGAAAACCAACCCATACAACCACACTTTCACCCTGCCAAAACACACACCATCACTATACAAAACTGAATGCTAGAAAACACACTGCAAACCTGCTGATGTTAATACAAAGACTGGTTTGTTTAGGTAAGTTTGGGTTTTAAACCGTTGTTGCTAATGACAGATTTATTTTTTTATTATTACTACTTAAATGGTTAGTTCCTGCCCTTTAATCCTAGGCTTAAACCTTCACCTCCCACTGAAGTTAACAGGATTCACACATAGGCACCCACAAACCCATGCTGTCTAAACACACTAAGATATTGATTCACAGGTGCTCACAAGTACCACAAGTAGCGCACAGCTTTCCTCAAAACACCACTAAAAATATACAAAGAGGCAAATACAGCCTGCCACCTTTAAGAAACAAAGAACACTTGTTGAGCTAAGAAATGCTGCTGCTCCTGGCATGGTGCAGCACAAGGCTTTTCTTGTATCAGTGGCCAAGCAAACTAAATTTGGAAACCCCTGCTGTAGTGAATGCCTGGGGGAATCAACCACACGGCGCAGCTGACATGCAGGGGGAGCTGCAGAGATGTCCCTGAAGCTCTTAACCCACCTTTTTCTTGTCCATTGCTGCTCAGTCCATTGACAACGGTTTTTGCAACATCAATTTCTTCCTGTTCTGTAAGACAAATGAAGAAGCAGATTACTTCTGGGTTAAAACCTCTGCAACTAAATTTAACCTCTGACTATGAGGGGATGCCATGGGTTAGCACTATTTGATTCATGAACTAGGAAGCATTCCTACCATCTCAAGAGATATTGCTTGGAGACACAAATCTCTCTTGGACGACACACCTGTTTCCCCCTTCCCTTTGCCTACCTGGATCGCAGCCTCTTTTAAACAGGGATTGTTTCTGTATGTGCATATGGCATCCAGCTCAGCGATGAGATTTTCAAGAGAGATTTTTCAAGTCTGCAACATCCTCAGCTGACATGAATAAAACTGGCTCTTGCAAATTCACAGAAACACGGAAGATAGTGCTAGAAAGGACCTCCAAGGGTCATCTAAAGCCATATTCCTGATTCACGGCAGAAACAAACCTACCTCTGTCACTGCTGACAAATGTTTGCCTAATGAGTTCTTACAAAGTTACAGAGCCACCCTAAAGCAACCTGTTCCAGTGCTTCACAACCTGGAAGCTTATCAATGCTTAAGCCAAATTCCCAGCTCATGTTTTTCAGGCTCTGATTAAGTCTCCTAACTTTCCTCTGCACTCTCTCCAAATGGTTCACATTTTTCTCAAAATGTGGTGCTAAAAACTGGGCATGATACTCCAGCTGAGACTTGATAAGGTGCTAAAATCAAGTGGGAATATTATTCCACAGGTCCTACATATGGCACTTCAGTGTGGTGTCTGCTTTGTTTTTCACTCTGATTTAGCCTGTTATCCAGACAAGCCCAGAAGTTTTCCTCTTCCCAACCAGCCTCCATTTTCCTGGTCCTTCATTTTTCTTTGAACAGCTGATTTTTCCTATCCAGATGTCAAACTTTGCATTCACCCCTACTATAACATATCAAATTCTTTCAGATAATTTTTTCGGGTAATCAATAATTTTGAATTCTTGTATTCCAAAGTGAAAGAAGCTAAATTGACCTACTCCGGCTCAAGATGTTTCTAGTAATTTTTTGATCATTATGGGCCAAATCGAAACAACAAACGCAAAGCCAGGACACTTTTTACTACAAAGCTATTCCACTGTTGCCTTAATAGTCAGATTCCTTGAGCTTTCAAGGGCTTTGACTCTTTTCTGGGGGGCAGAAGAAGAGTAAAAAAAAAAGAAAGAGTAATTGCATCAGAAACAGACAGAATTATTTCTAGTAATAAAAAGGAATGACAATGAGGGCAAGTGGAAAACAATATAGACTTACCAGAGCTCATTGTGGTGGAGGGACTTGCTTTTTTCACTTCTGGATTTTGTTTATGTCTGTTTAAAGTGAAAGGCAGAATGGTTACGTTAAGTTTCATGTCTGCCCAGACAGCACTGGACATGATGCTGAACACTGATCACAGAAGTCGAGGTAAAAGTCACAGTTTCTTCAAAAAAATTAGTTGCAAAACCCAAACGGATTTATGTCAAACACAAGTTATATTTTTTTAACTTCTGATAATTCTAAACAAAAAGTCTTTCTCCCCAATATAGGTACTACTTTCAGACTTTAAGACTAACCCTCAACATTAAATTGTAAGATACTGGTTAAAGCCTAATAATCTATATATGGCAAAGTGCAAATCTGGCTAGCTTCTAATATATAAAATGCACATCATCTTTAATAAAAAATTAAAAAATCTCAGTGAGACCAAAAGCTTTAAGCTAAAACCCTCAACTTCAAACATTGCCAGATTTCAAGGAGATTTGTTGCTGACATCCAAGTCAATCTCTCCTTTGAAAGATCTTACAATACAGAAGAGATACACCTGTTGAAATGCACATTAACTTCTGCACCAATCATTTCCAGTCCTACAGTGCCACTGATATTTTCAGGATCAGATTCCAGTACATGAAACTTTAAAATCAAAAGCTTAATCCTCTTGGGACCAAAGTCAGTGAAATTACCAACCCAAGAGAAAAACTACCAGATGGAGACCAGAGGAGAAAAAAAAAAGTCTATTTGCATGGTCATGACAGTCTACAGAGGACACCTGTGGGGCCTATTCGTACCCAGTGCCCACTCCTGTGGACACTTGGTATCTGCAGCAAACAAACAGGTTTCCATGTCACACCACAGATGTTGGTTTGAACAGTCAAAGAGTGGCATTTCTACAAAAGAAGTCCATGTTTGCCAAGTTCTCTCAATGCTCTAAAGGTCCTAAATTGAATTACAAACTCTTTAATTTCATGTTCCAATCTCCCCCGCTCAAAAGCTAGCACTAAAAGTGAGTGAGATCAAGTGTAACTCCAGCCAATTAATGGTTTCCACGACACAAATAGGAATAGGTATCTGAACCTGCAAAATCATGCATAAAGACCCTAATCTGTGAAGTATAGGGAAAAATTGCTCAGAGAAACAAGAAACTAAATGAGAGAGTTGGAGATACTTGTTTTCTTGTTACAATGTCCCACTGCTGCCTCCAGTTCATGTAAGAGGTGGAAACTCTCTTCAGGGAATTCAATTTGCTCTCTTGCCTCAAGCATCCCCATTCTTAAGCAGCATTTGTTCTATACTAGCCAGAATATAATGAGCATGTTCAATGGATATGCAAAAGGAAAGAAAATAAAATTCAACAAGCAAATATAGTAACAGATCAGTCTGTAAACCCAGCCAATATCTGGGCTCTCTAGCATGCTACCCTAGCAACAGCTGCCAACACTTAATTATTTAAATACTTTCTTCATTAAAATATCCACATAAGATACACATCATGGGTTAGTGAAGGCCCAGCAGGATGCAACCTAACTCCAAGCTCATCCCAGCAAAACACAGTGGGAAGTGGAGGGCGCAGTCTAAAACCAGTCAACAACAAAACCTGAGCCCAACTTAAAGCTCTGCTGCCTGACTTTGCCTGCCCATACAGTATCTCCTTTTGGTTTCTACCATTTCATATTAGCAGTAAGTACCCTGAAATAGTAATGGTTGACACAGCCTGAAAATTTAGACAAATGTTCTTAATAATAATGGTCTTTCTGATCTCCATACATTTCAGTTACAGAAAGATGCCTTAGTTTAAGCAAAGCAGAAAGAAACAGGCTAAAACGATAGACTATCCAGACTAAGGAGGTTTGCAGCAATATCACGCTCTTCTACATATGGACAACTGTTACAAGTTAAACTCACTGGATAAATACAAGTCCCTCCATAGGGCAGAGAGAAAACTACAAGAAGCAGCAGTACTGCAGTTAAGTCTCAACTCAACTTCAGGATTAAAGCCATTCTGAAGCTGAGGAGGGTACCCAGAAGTTTTAACTCAGCACTGGCCCTCTCCATTGCCTTCACACAAGACAACAGAAAGGTTCTTGCACTCCAAGCATCCCCAAAAGGTTGCATGCTTTCCTCTGGTACACAAGATAAAAGAGGTAGAGAAAAAAAAAATAATAGAGTATATTACCTTTTCAGGAGAGGAAAGAGGAAATACTAGCTCACGTGTCTAGGCAAAGGCAGGGTCCACCACTGCTGCAGTCCCAGGGCAACAGAGGTCCCATTCCACAACAGCAGTATCCGAGCAATTAAACTTGTGACCCCATGCTTTATACTTTTTAAACTGCCTCATCTCTGTTTAGAAATGGTGACATCACAACTGCCACAAAACTCTGATTTCAGTGATGTCTTTTTGATACAGGAGTCTTGACGTTGCCTGCAGTGTGAAGCACTGGCCTTCATTACATTAAGAAAAGCATTAAGGAAAGAATTCACACCTAAAAAAGCACAATTATTTGGCCTTAAAACCAAATTACTTTTCTAAGAAGTGATTTGAGGCTAAAAAATAAAGTGATAATTAAAGAAGTAAGTTTGCAAAAACTAAATGGAGGAGGTGTACAAACTCAATAGAACTAGATCTAGAAAAACTACTTTTCCCCATATCCCCACACTTACTAGCAATTATGGAATTCAATTAAAATAAAAACATTCAGTGTTCACTTACTATGAAACTAATCAGCATTACTCAAGCACTCATACAAACACGTACTTAATGCAGGTTCCCATACACAGAACAGATTCAGCATGCTCAGGGTGAGCATAATCAATCCTGAGCACCTGTGTTGGTGTAATTCCAGAAACTCCATTTAAAAGTTGATTTGGATCAGTTGAGCATCTGCACACAGATTTGCTGCATGCAGGCAGAAATAACTGCTGTTTAGATTGAGGAAATTATGGTGCACGTTTGGACTTGAGAACATCCTTCAGTGCCTTTTTGCATCAGGACTACAGAGTTATTCTCCCTGTCTCCCATATGCTTAATCCAAACCACATCCTGAAGTCCTATTAGATCTATCTTAGCCCTAACGCTGCTCTTGGGACCAGATACACCGTCCAGTCAGATAGCACATCTGGCTCCACAGCCCCAATATAGCAAAGTGTCGCCCTCTGTACCACTTGAGGAGGTATATGCTGTAAATCAGTCTGCCCTAAGCGTTTGGATGGTACATCCTTAGACAGAGCAGTTCTTGCCAGGTTGGCTAGACAAGCTGTCCGTGGGCTGTGGGAGCAGGTGGATCTGGAAACACTTGCTGCTCTCGGTTCCCCTCAAGAACTTCCTGTAGACATGGCCAAGCCGTTGCTGTAGACACACATGCAAGTACATACAGCAGCACTTCAGAAGGGAGCCTTTCAAAGAGAACCAAAAATGAAGTCCCTCATGTCAATATTAAAAACAGAGAAACTGGTACTGCCAGATCATGCAAAACAAAACAAATTAAAAACAAATTAAACAAAACAAAACACAACAACAACAAACACCACCCCAAAAACCCCTCCAAAATCCTCAAGTGTCTCCCTCCAGCTCCCTCCTCTAACCACCTAATCAGTATCTCCTTGCCAGACTGGAATTAGTGCCTTTCCTGAAATGTGACGGAGAGCAACAAAGGCTTCAAAGCTGCAGACATTCAAAACACAATGAAAGGCAATGAATTCCTCAGGGCAAAAGCCAGCAACGGTAACTCTGAACATGCCAATGTCCATACATAACATCCACCAACTCCTTGCCAGTTCAGTCATACCTCTAGACGCACGTTTAACGCTTCCTTCCTCCCTTTGACCCCCAGCACATTTCTTCCAAGGCTGCAGCTCCTTCCCTACTTGGTGTGGAAAAGAGAGCTGTGCGTTTAGAAGCCTATTTAGGAGGAATGGAGATAAGTGGCAACTAATTCTGCACAACACGTCTCTGGATTATCTCACATGCTCTAAACATTTGAGTACTCTTCCTACAATGGCAAGGGGTAACAAACAGCTCATTAATAGTTCCGAGCAAGGACACACGCTCTTAAGTCACTGGGATCTCAGCTAGGAGTCCTAGGCGGTGGTTATTTTTGGTGGTCTAACATGTGTGTGTGGAAAAGTAATTTCCTTTTGTTTCTTCTCTTGTTATCATTGACAGCTCTGATGACTTGCATAGGATTTTAAAACAACTGCTAAACATCAGACGAGCATTCAAAACTTACTGGGCAGGTCCCTTATATTCCTGAGATTTGGGCTCCTGCTTTATCTTCTCAGTTCTGAGTTTTTTACATTTTCAAAGCTTTCTCTCCATATACAAGAGATTTAAGCGTTTTGTGGCTGCACTTAAATGAAAAAACAAATTCTTATTTATATTAATATAATCTAGGAGTTAAGGCTTTCAGAAAAATTGTAAGCTTTCAGACTTAAGGGATGATCAGCAATCATAAAAGTTACTTTTCACCTGGTCAGGTCTCACACAGCACTGACACCACTCGTTTGTTTAGGCCCTGGCTCAGACCCTTTCTCATGTTGCCACCAGTGCCCCTGACCCAGATGCTCTGCTCAACCAGCCATGCCAGCAATGTGGAGTCCCAAATCTGGAAAATGGGCAAAGGGCTGCACTGCACCCAGTGCCTCCTACCAGGAGGTTCCTCTGCTTAAAGGAACTTGCTAGAAAGCACATCTCCTCTGTACTTCTCACTTTGTATCAGATAAAATGTGGCAAGAAAAACTAACTAGAATACAGGAAGCAGCTCCAGGTTAACCCAGGCAATCAGCTCTCTCTCCAAGGACCATCATTCTCTTATCCTGAAATACTGAGAGAAACATGTTGCCTGTCATTTTTATTTTAAGGGTTAAAGAACATTCTGTCATTCCTTCAGAAAACACTATGGCTCTAAGAATAAATGTCATTAAAAGACTATGAATAAGCAAGCAGTTCACACAAAAGAATCATACCAATTCTGTACAAGACAACAGCCTCCACACGCTCTTTAGCAAGTGTTAAGACAGCAGAGAGGGAGCAGT